TTTTATATTGCCTTCCCCTTCCCTCTGGTTCACTGCAGCTGTTGCAACCTTGCTGAACTCAAAACGCTTACCATTAGTGGTCGCCAACCCCACTCCCTTGCCGGCGCAGTATTATGTCTGTACACGTCTGTCGCCCTTTCACTCTAGTGTGCCAGACCGATGGGAGCCCACTGCCTCCCGAGTCATATGTATATGAAAGACTGACTAAGACTAACAAAAGAGAGACATCTTAAAACAGTAAAGCGCATAAAAATATAAAATTATTACAGCATTCTGTAATCTGTCTGGGTTGGGTGAAGGGGAGCGACACCGGCATTTCGGCTAAGCGACTGACGGGAAGTGTAGCGTTGCCACGAACTGCGGACAGGGGACATGACAGAAGAGAACAAAGAGAACGAGGAAGAGCGTTGTTGAAAATGTGCCAGCGCATGTGAGGAATAGGGACCCCAAAGATATTACTCCATACCGGATTACACATCCGGCATCCCAAATCCCATCAAAAATGATTCGGGTCATTCGAAAAACTCTTAAAGTCCCGTTGAGCATCACATTCCTACCTCTGAATACAAGACCGTTTCGTGGTCATCAGCAATGTATGAATTCTCATGATATGTACCCCTTCCTCCAAGTTGTTCGGCAGAATGACTGCATCAACAGAAATTTAAAATGAACCATTTTGAACCAGCTGCCTAACTGCTAGAGCAAGTACTTCTTGATGGCCATTACAAAATACCGTTCAAGGGAACGTCGGAACTTCTATGACTGAACACATGCACACAAGAAGGCTGACACCGTGTAGTAAAGTCTGAAAAAATAGGCAGTCAATTTTGACGGTATTCAAAGTGTTGATGTCCATCAACTTACCTTTTAAAGGCTCCCTCAGCATGCTATGACACCCATTTAAGTATTATTGTAGAAAAGTATAATACCACACTTCAATTTCTGGGGTTATTGTGTAAATAATTATTGCATTTCAGACATTCCGTACATATTTCCATCATGGGTTTCAATACTTAATTCGGGTTGATAAATAGCTATCTTTTTGCCTGCTGCATTAAATTTAGATGTCAGGCATGCTAGATTCTGATTGTAAAAGTGTTTATAGTGACTTGGAACT